TACAGGCCAATGTTCACAAATATTTGACGAAACGGTAAATTGCGTTGGAGATATCTTCCTGCATAAATATGCCTTGCTTCGCGTGAGTTACCATTCGCGCAACCGTAAACAAAGTGACAAAGTCAAAGTCAAAGTTACAAAATCAAAAATAGACTTCAGTTCTGATGTTGCTGCGGGTCAGTTAGCTTGTACATACGTTTTCGGGCCAAATTGTTTCAGTCCATCAAAATCGCAAGGTGGACATTTTCAACAATTCATCTAATTGTTTTATTTCATCAGAAGAACTGAAGTCTGTTTTTGTTTTTCTGTTTTTTACTAGTTTTTGACTAATTCAAGCTTATTGTATTTCTTTCAAATAAACAGATTATTACTACACGTTTAAATTTTTTTATTTTGGAAACTAAGCCGTTTAGGACACATGTTTATATGGACTTTTTTACTTGAAATAAACCGAAGAATCGCTCTGTTGAGTATGGCAACATACTTAACTGACACTCTGTATATTGCATCTAATCATATAGATGACAGAGATAGAATTTAGATTTATGCTATAAATTCTATACGTATATGATACATAATTTTCTATCAGATACAAAAAATAGCTATAATTCTAGTTGGAGTAGCAAAAAATTTTTTTGCGTATGCAAATAAAAGTACTTCACATAGAGAATAAATGTTATAATATTTCTCTAAATTCGCAATAGATTCCTTATCACAACAATAATTCGCTATTACATACTATTGAAGAGAAAGAACTTTTTATAAATTGTGAATTTCAGAAGGTCGACTTAAGTCTGAAATTCACAATTTCTAAAAAATTCTTTCTCTATAAAAAGTTCTTTCTTTATAATTAGTTAAAAAATATAATTATATTTTTTAACTAACTATACATTTCGCGATTTGCGCGACGAACTTTCTCGTTATCTCGGAAGAATCGATCGCAACTCGGCCATTAAGTTTAAAGATTATTATACCCGCGTATACAAATCAATTTCCTATAACGGCGTACATAATTGATTTACTAGCAAAAATATTTATATGACGCGCCGTGCGTCTATATAAATATCATAACGCAATCGTGGGATGCGTCACGAGTACAAAGTACGAAAGGCCGCACCCTGCAGCGATCAGACCAACCCGCTTGTGCACCAGTTGTTGTCATAGCCTTGTACATACATCTGCGCTACCTTCGATGTGAGGAAATTTCTCGATGGCGCAATAGGACAAAGATTCACCTTGCCATCGTCGCATTCCTCCTCTCTTTTTTTTCTCCTCCCCCCTCTCTCTCTCTCTCTCTTTCTTTTTCGCTCGCTTTCGCTCTCTCGTTTTCTCCATCTTTCCGATCTCTACGAAATCATCATTGGAGTCGTCATCGTTGTGTTAAGGAAAACGCACGCTCGCTGCCCTTGCGACGCATGCACACCAACGTACGCAAACAGATGCACATACGCGCTCCCTCTCGCACGCACAGTCCGTATAAGCGACTTTTCCTCTTTATCATAGCTCTTTAGACACGTTTACAAGATAAGACGCCGCATATTTTCGACGGGCGGTTACATTCTCGAACGGGCGGTTGCTCGCGGTTTACGATAAATAGAATCGAAAATTCAGTGAAAGCAGTATCGAAGGGAACGCAATCGAAAAATTCCACGTCTGACAGAACTCATGCATATTTTATGTTACAGTCGTAATATATTTTCCCCTCTTCGCTTCGAAATGTGCTAATATTATTTCTTTCGTATCGCGATAAAGTTTTATTACTTGATAAAAACATAAAAAAATTAAAAAATTGTAAATCAGCTAAGCAAGAAGAAGCGCCAATTACGGTCAAAATTAGTAACAATAATTTTATGTGTAATCTATTTTATTTTTAATACTTTTACTTCAGATATACATGACTGCGTGCTTATTACTTTTGAACTTGCAACACAATCAAATTGAAATAATAATAATAATACTAATTATCTCACTTAAAATTAAATTTGATCGTCAAGTTGAACAACTTTATATAATTTTTTAAAAATAATTCTATCGCATCATCGTACAATAAATAAATTTTTTTTAATTTAATACGTTTTAATAACGTCTGTGTATATTTTTTCTCGCATTCGATACTCCGGGTTTAATGAATCGGCGATCCGTTAATTACGATTCGTCCGTCTCGACTCGTCAGCTTTCTCCGCTTCCGCGTTTATTCGCTTCCTTTCTCCCAAAACTTTGCGATTTTCTCACGATACTCGAGTGGAAGCGTCATGTCATCAACCCCCGCATGGTAACGTTTAGGGCACGCGTTACGTGTGTGCGTGCTGTGGGGTCGAGTGCGTGTGTTGCCGAGTTGCTACGCACCGAAATTACATACACGCACGCAGCGGGTTCATCATAGAGTTCGGTCGTGGTCGCAATTTTCGTGACCGTATACACACACGTTAGACGTATTTTTCCCCAGTCTTTTTTTTTCGTGCGTCCGTCTCCACAATATTCCCCTTCTTGGCGCGCGCGCGCGCGCACGCTTATGCGTATATTGGGTACCACCATAAACCTTACTGTGCGGGAAGTCGACGTGGGTGTAGACTATGGAATAGTTTCCATGCATCGCACCGTGTGTAAATACGCACGCACACACTTGCGTGACCGTCTGCCTATGCGAGCGCATACAAGCGCGTGATATGTCCCGCAGGATATTGGCCTAGGAGCCGCGTGATTGGCCGATAGTGAGGGCATAGGCGAATAAGTGCGTGTGCTGTGCGTACACGCGCGTGTAGCGATGCGCCGAAACGCGCCTCACTATCACATACGCTTATACACGCACAATGGCGTAAGTTTTACATATTTTCCTCGGCGTGCGTGATCGTTCCGCGCCGTGCGCTCCCATGAATAACATTGCGACATCAAAATAGTTCGGATTCAGCAAGAAGCCGAAAATTGGAATCGCTTTAATTATAACATCGACATTAACGCTTTACTCGTTTACTTGTTAGTTTTATCAGCTTGTAACTATGTGATTTTTTTTAATTACGCTAATCTTACTGAGAATGATTCCGTTTCATCGTTAATTTAATTACAAAAATGCTGGTTATATTACAACGGTTATTTACGCAAACGATTGAATTAATTTGTCATTACAATCTATTGTTTTAATATGTCGCGATTATGAAAATTGTACAGACAATACATATTTATGTTTCTTATTTTTTATAAAGAACTTTAATATCGAGAAAGTACGAGGGAAAAACAATTTTGCTAAAATATGAAAAAATTTAACTAGGTACAGATCTGAAAATGATTTTGCTGAGTCGTCAAAATAATCATGTAGAATACTTAAGCATCGTTGCGAAACATTTTAATATTCTAGCAATCAATTTGAGCATCTCAGATTATTTTGACAAACCAAATTATTTTCAGATCTGTTTCTAGTCACATTTTTACATACATACTTCAGCAAAACAGTTCTTTCTATGTAGTTTTCGGACTAAAAAAATATATGAATAAAAAATATCGTCAACATCTGGACTTGTTTTAAAATGATTTAAATTATCGTATGATAAATATTACATAAAAAGACCGGTTTTTTGCTAAAGTATTTAAGAATTTTGCTACAGATCTGAAAATAATTTGTTGGACTATCAAAATAATTATGTAGGATGCTTAAATTGGTTGCTACAATATCAATACTTTTGGCAACATTGCTCATCGTGCTTAAACTTCCTTCGTAATTATTTTTATGGTTCAACTAAATTATTTTCAATTTTTGGTTAAATTTTTAGATGCTACAGCAAAATCGTTCTTTTTGTATAATTGTGTTAATTAAAATGTGGGTATCCACAAAATACGACTAATTTGTTGAAAGTTTTGAGATATAACGTATACGCGCAGCAGTTTCCTAAATATAACATCGGTGCAACCATCCCTCTTCATAGTTTGTATGTGAAAATGTCATAGTATAGAACTGCATACACCCACGCTTTCTCTGTCTTTCTTTCTCTCAGCACATCTGAGTTGTTCCAAACTGTTTTAAAAGCGCGTCCGAATTTCCCCTCGACTTTTTCTGATTGTGGACTTTAGACCCGAGTCTAATACAAGCGCGATTAAGAAGACGTCAAGAATTCGCATCAATTTATGAAATTTATTTCAAAACTTTTGCGTTTGTACGTCTACAAGTCGATGGTACCTCCCCATATTTTCGTCACACGTTTCCGGTGCGGCTCTCAAGCTGTCTGTATTAATTTATCTTCTTGCGAGAAGAATTACGTTAAACTTGTTAAACTTGGGGCGGGAGCCATGATCGTGGCCTTAGCGAAGGTTACGCCATTGGTGCCCCAACTGGCGCACACGAAGAAGGAGGAAACTCACAGACGTATGAACTCACTTCACCACCCCTATGACTGTCGCCGCGTGACGGGCTAGGCTGAGCTGTATGGCCAACGGCATGGTGTAAGCGTCAGTGGTCGTCGAGCAGGCAGGAAGAGAGGTTTTCTTATTCCCGGTGCGTGGACGGGTCTCTCCTGTATTGGAGAACGTGCGGCTTACTTGCGGGCGCGCATGGTCCTCCACGTCGGTGCAATCAACAACGGGGGACGGAGTGCAGTGAAATAAGGGTGCGTGAAGTAAGGAGTGCGTGTACGATTGTGTGAAGACGCACATATGTGTGTCTTCCTTTTTCTTTTTTCTCTTCTTGCGTCTTCCGTGTACGGCATGTCCATCGCATGAGGCGTGCACGCGTTATATACATAGGTAGATAGGAGCTCAGGAGGGGGAGTGAAGAAAAGAGGAGGAACCGCGGTTCCCGAATAAGCGCGTCCGAAGTGCATTTTGTGCTGTACTAGACGCTAGACGAGATTAAAAAGAGAAGGGAGGGAGGGGAAAGGAAGATCGTCTGGAATATATCGATAACGTGTAAAGGTATCCCATCGTTCCTTGATTCGCGTCTTATATACGAGAAGTCATCCAGAGGCTCACGATATAAGAGAGGAACATTAGTCTCCAGCCTGCATCTCTCTGACTGTGCTCGCTTTTATTAGATCATCGTCCAACGTTTCGTCGTCGCGAGAGAAGCGTCTACCAAATCGCTATAAGTAAGTTCAACGCACTTTTTCCTCCTCCGCTTTCAACGTTCCACGGCAAGGCGAAACTAATTCGCATCTGCTTTTTGCTTATTAAGTGCTAAGTGTAATGGGAGCATTTAAATGGTTTTTTTTCCGTAATTTAAAACGCGGTTGTGACATATAAAAACAAAACACATAAAGAGATCCTCGAGACGTTTAGAAAAAATACAAGAGTAATCGGCAATTGGAGATCTTTTCTTTATCGTTTCTTTACCATTAACAATTAGCTTACTTATCGCTTATTTAACTCTAACATCTCTGCGCTGCACTTACACTTATCGCTGCCTACGAAAAAGTTTTTTTTTCTACTTAAAGTGAGAAATTATTGAATCATTATAGATCATCTGACTTTTATTTTTAAATCGATTGTGCCTGATGTTTTTCTTTTATCTCTCTTCGTTTCGCGCGTTTGTTTTTGCAAGTTTCAGTTTGGCGAATAGATCGGTCGAGGATAATTTGCATTTGTCGACTAGATTAAAACGTCAAAATGGTTCTTTGGCACCATAGTCGGTTCCACGTACGCAGCATTTCCCGGTTCACGAGACTTCCTTATCTCTTTCTTATCATCTGCTTGCTCCTAATTCCTATTGGGTCGACTAATAAATCGGCGCGTGACTCATCCTACGCGAGAAATGCAAATATCGACTGACTTCCCCTCGCGAAGCGATTTCACCCCAGTCACGAAACATCGATCGTTTCATTTTCTTTTATTATCTCAATTATACTCGTAATTATATATATTTGGGAAGGGAAAAATAGAAGCGGAAAAATGACAGGTCTGATAAATTTAAAATGTTGAATTCACAGAATGAGAATAAAATGAATGAATAAGTGGTTTTTAATATAATATATATGTATAGTATAGAAATTGCATATTTTATGTATATTCGACATTAAAATGTCAAAAATAAATTATATAAAAATAATTAGAGATGAAAGTAGAGATTAAAGTAGATATGAATAGCAAAAGTAAAGTAATAAAAATAACAAAGAAAGATTCATATAGATCTTTGCAAGTTGTGAATTAAAAAACGTTACTTTTTCACCATTTATATCAAATTTGTCATTATCGGTCGAAATAAAAAAAATTGTGAAATTTGAAAAATTTTTGACGAAAGTGCTGCTTTTATTAATTTTATACAAAAGTACGAAAATATTTATAAATCTTTGGCAGTAAGATCGGCGAGGGATATAAATCGGTCACTGCATGATTTTTAATCACTGCATGTTGACCTGGAAGTTTGGTTCTTTTATCATAACATCTGAAAAAAAGGGTTAAGAGAAAGTAACGATCAGGTAGATTCACTGGAAAATTTTTTGTTTACGCTCGTTTTGCCTTGAGAGAAATTTTATTTATGATAGGAAATTTTTTGCTATGAATGTCGACGGCAAGGGTTAAAGAAGTCTTCATATGCATCTGTAGACAATAGGTTCAAGCAAATATTACCATTCAGTCGAGGCTCGTATATACCTACAACGCGTACGAAAATAATGAAATTTCGCGGGAAATGACATGCAATTCTTAGGGACTGCATTTGCGGATCGCGTTACAATTTCACCCGCGATGTGCAATTTTATATCTGCCTTTATTGATGACAGCTCAATATAATGCTACAGTACGTATTAATATTATAGTATCATTATACTAATACTACATATTTTGATAATATTGATTCTAAAGCGAAACAAGAAACTTTTATTATGGTAGATATTTTATATATAAAACATAATTATTGGAAAAATTTCTATACATAGAATTACTAAAATTTAAATACAATTTTTTTTATTTTGAATAAGATAGAATGCTTTTCGATACATAATGTAAATATTTTGCAACGTCTCGATATTGTGTTATCCTTATCATTATGGTCATTTTCTAGTTTGTATAGTGTTGTATTTGTACTGCTTGGGTGTTTCTTTTTCTAATCGCATTCGGACCTAAGATAAGGTAATCTTTGCTAGTTTCGAAAACAATCTCGAGACTGACAATGAGTTTTTGGATTCTTAACCAAAGATTAACGAGGAATGGCATAAAAAGAATAAATGGGCGTACTTTATCTCTTTATCGCAGACATTTAACAGTCAATTTTATAATCATTCAGATCTTGATCGTCTTGAAATGTAGATCTATTTTAATGTAAAATCTGTGGCAAAATCATCTATTATATTTCTAAATAACAAATTAACTATTTTATAAATTTTTTCGGATATAGATTATGTTAAAGATTCGTAAATTCTTTAATAGTCAGAGTAACGAAATTACGAGAAATAAATGTAGAAATTTTATGATCGATGATAAATTTCTCGGTAAGTACGAGCTCAATTTTTTCTTTTCGCAAAAATAGTAAATTTTATACAATTTTCTTATTTTCGATATTATTTTTATTTGCATAAGATCGATACCGAAATATTGTTTCAGTTTCAATCTTATTTGAAATATTGTTGATAATTCAAATGTACAACGTTCTTTCTTTTCGCCGTAAGAAACTATTGACATTGATAGGAATGGAATTTTTGTTGATTTAGTTTCTCACGGCGAAAAGAAAGAACATTGTACATTCTAGATAATAAGCTATATAATAACGCATGCATTAGAATGCAATTATTGACCTTTGATGCGCACAGACTCTTATCGCTAGATAAATTCAATGCTTTAGTTTCGATAGGGCGGGGGATTGCATATGGTGAACATTTCGATCTCGTCACTCGGCCGAGCTAGTCGAGCTGCAGTCCAACATTTCTTTGAATAGGAACGTGTTTGCTATAGATTACACAGATAATCGCCCTTGGACATCATGTCTGCTTCGCAACAGTACTGCCTCCGATGGAACAATCATCGCTCGAATCTGCTGAACGTCTTCGAGGAGTTGCTGCACAACGCGGCGTTCACCGATGTCACCCTTGCTGTCGACGACGGCAGGACGGTCAAGTGTCATAAAATCGTGCTGGCTGCATGCTCGACGTATTTCCAGACTTTGTTTCACCAACTGCCAGGCTATAATCACCACCCAATAATCGTTCTTAAAGATGTTGGGTATCCGGAGATAAAGGCGATATTGGAGTATATGTATCGCGGCGAGGTGAACGTGGCGCACGAACAGTTATCTGATCTGCTGAAGATCGCGCAAGTACTGAAGGTAAAAGGCCTAGTTGAGGAACGCGGTAGCAATACGCCGCACGATATTCGTCCTGAGGATACATCGGTATCGCCACCACCCGCTATCAGTACCAGTACCAGCTCAGCCACTCGTCGCCGCCATCTTATTACTCCCTTTACGGGAACTCGGTCTCGCAAGATCGTGGTTCAAGTCACCTGGCAAGTTCGTTACCAAGCACGTGGCTGCCGTTGCATTCCACGGGTCATCAGCTTCCAACGTCGCTCTCTTCCATCCTCGGCGGAAGTGGTAGCAGCGGCAACAGTGGCGGGTCCTACGACAACGGTATCGAAATCTCGTCGTTCAAACGCCGGAAGCTGCTGCAGCCTCCATCAGGCCTGCTGATAAATAATGACACGCCGATATTGCGCACGGTACTTGGCCAGGCTCACGTTGACAGTTCGCAGCCTCTACCGCTGCTGCAACCGGACAGCCACGAACCAGTGAACTACCGCAACGCAAACAGCAACGGATCCACGAACGACAGCGACAACCGCCGCAACAACGACCTGGCTCACGGTGAAACGACGGTCCATGCCGATGCCTCCTACGCAGACGAAGACGAAAGTCGACAACCGTCCCCGCAGTCTTACGCAGATACTTCAAGAAATTCAGGTAGCAATAGCAACTCAGATATCACAGGAGTTCCATATTATGCAAGCACAAGTTATTTAAAGTTGTATGCTTTACGTTATCTACAACATATAAACGAATTGACGAATTTATTATCCCCTGCATCATACGAACAAAAGTCAAATGGAAAAGATAGAGTTAACGGAACTACTGATAATACACAAGGTAAACAAGAAATTACAGTTTAACCCTCCGCGAATCAGGTGGGGTGTGATATACCTCAACAAGATAAATTTCTATAACTTCTTAAAAAGTACCGCGTGCGTTGCCGGTTTCGTGCAACTGGTGAGTGCGTTGTTATCAATCATACTAAATTATAGTATATTTATGATCAAGCATGAGATATACCCACATATTATCCATGTTGATTTTCCACCTAATTTGCAGAGGGTTAATAATATCACATGTAAATGAAAAACTACTTCCTTAGTAAAATATTAATATTATTATAATATGTTATATTATTACAAAGTATATTTTTACTATAAAATTTGCCGCAAGGAGATCGTGATTTGGGGCGAGAACAACCTTGTATTCTCTGTTATAAAAGTTATATCTATATTTATATTCGATTATATATATATATATATACATATAAAATATTATATTTTAATATTTTCTCTCTATAGGTAATATTATATTTTTGCTTTAATAATTTTTTTAATAAATAGATAAAACAATATTAATTTTAAAAAATTAAGTATAACAACGCTCGAAAATATTATTATACGTTTAACAACAGGATTAAACGAATAGCACTATATCAATTATGTTTGTGCAATACAATTTGATCACGTGAATGCCGAAGATAGATATTATTTGTTCAAACAAATAATGTATTTAAGACAAAGATATATATTGTTTCAAATTTAAACAATAGCACTTATTGATTTAAACATTGGTTTGTTTGGACCATTTCAAATAACAAAAAGTTTTAGATACAAAAATTTATTAAATCCAAAAAAATCTTTTTCTCTGTGCATGATATTAGAGTCCATTCAATCCTGCTATTTATATTCAGATTGTAAGAAAATTTCTTGATATACCATGTCCAGTAATGAAATTTCAAATGTCAAATGTCTAATTTTTTTTTTATAACGAACTTCTCGTTAAGTCATTAGTGTTTTAATACGGTCAAAAATGTGTGAATACCCATGAATAACTCGGTTCTGTGAGTCGAAACGTATTCATTCGTATCACTTACGTCTCATTATATAAATATATAGAAACTATTGTATTATTGTAAATTTAAAAATTGCTCGATTATTGGTCGTTATATTAATATTGAATTTTATTAATTTTATTAATAAAATTTATTAATAAAATTAAAATTTTATTAATTTTATTAATTCATCGCAGCTGCCGCGGACTGTGTCCAGCCGAAACCCGAATGGAAACGCTATAAGCAATACACTCGAGATGACATCGGCGCGGCGATCGAGGCAGTAAGGAAAGGTATGAGCGCCGTTCAGGCAGCGCGAAAATACGGCGTGCCATCGCGTACGCTTTACGACAAAGTGAAAAAGCTGGGCATCCCTACATCGCGGCCATTCAAGCGCTCAGCAAGCAACGGAGGAAGCGGGGCTTGTTTCCCGTATGGCATCGGCGCCAACGTGAACGGCGCTCTTTATGACAACAGTGCCAGCAGTGCCAATGCTCTTTCCGAGAATGAGAACGAGAGTAGCAACCTCAACGTGACTGAGAGCTTGGCCGGTACGAGTACCGCGGTTTTTGAGGCCACATATGCAAAGACGACGAAGGATTCATCGCGGGACCGCGGCGACTCAATGTCGGATTCGATGGCCCGTTGCAGCTCGAGTCCGGTGATACGTTGCGCTAAGCAAAGACAGCAGCAGCAACAGCAGGACCTGGACGATCAAGTAGAGGACTTGTCGGTGAGTCGCAAATCCGACGTTCCAGTGATAATACCGCCGTCCACTACGTCGACCCCGATTAAAGACGAGGCGCAAGAAACAGGATTGGACAATAACGATAGTGGCGATTACAGTTAACTTTTACAGCCCAGTGATGGAAGTAATAAGATACGAGTAGTTCAATTTGCAGCAAACTCAATTTAGTATTTCAAAATTAAATTTATTTTGTTTTAAATATTCTGTCTTTCGTCTCTTTTACGATTTTTTTCATACTAAACTTCCATATTAAACTTCGTAAAGTTATAATGGTCGATGAACGATGAGAAAGCCCATCAATTATGCATCTCAAAATAATCGTTTTCGCATTATATTTCCTCAATTTTTCTAATTTTTATTTTTTTAACAAATTACAATAAATTTATTTTGACGTTGAGCTCTTTATTACTCCATCTTATCGTATATTGCTTTATCCATCGTATAGTTGCAGAAGAATTTCCTTCTCGCATTTTTTTTACCGAGTGTGCATTTTCATTCCGGATAGTCGAAAATAGATTTTGCAGAATACACAAATTTGATCAGTAGAACGTAAACAGAATAAATGCAGAATATGAATATGTGATGACTGATTGACCGCAGAAACCGAGCAATATCTTCCATTCTGTAATCATATAAATGATATATTCTATTTTTATGAATTTAACGAAATGACAAATTCTGCTCGATTTCTACTGGCAATCAAATCATGTTAGCAAGCAAAACACGAAATTAACGCGAAGTAATTGTACATCAATTTGTTGCAATATTCTTCTCGAATGTGTTGGTGAAATTAGCGCAACATTTTGTTGGGACGTTTTATACGTATATCTGTAATTCTTTAGGTATTTCGATACGGTAGACGAACGTAAATGTATTTATTCCTGTTTGAACTTATATGAAAATGGATCTAAATAATCATCATGATTATCTTAAAAAATTAAATTACTAAAGTAACGATAAAATTGTTAATTATTGCAAATTTATTGATTCGTTGTTCGTGATTCGCGATTTGCGCATAGTTTAGAGCTAGCTTAAGATATATTCATTCAAAATACTTTAACGCGAATTACGGTTTAATAAAACAATGAATTGCACAAAAGAACGTGTCGCCGGCTAATGATCGTTTTCAACGCGAACAATAGCAATAAAAAAGAACGTATGTGAGAAAATTAAAAAAAAACATACGGATACAAATATTTTGAAACTTTACTCGAAAATATTTTTAAGATTAGATAAGACAAACACAAATTGTAATGGTACTATACCGCGCAACATTTGGAGATATCTTTTTTGTCTTGCGACATATTCATTTGTGCGGATACTTGTCTACCGTAATAGCATTAAAGCTTTAATAAATTGACAGTGAAATAATACAAAATTCATAAATGGAATCTCTACTATTAGGCTACATATAAAGTGTCCTTTTCTCCCCTTACTATTGTGTCAACGTAAATGAAATAAAAATTATGGGAGATATTCTATAATAATAACGTGCCAGTAATAAGTGCAAGCATGGAAACATTAACACTTTCCGAATAATAGATTACTTGCATATGTGCTGACTTATCATTTCATTATGAACTTTGTATTATTTTGTATTGTTTATTTAATAAATGTCGCTTTTTAATTTGTTAGCATTGTAAGTACTTCATCGTTGTATTTGATCGTTACTGACCACAGTTCCGGGATACGATTGCAATATTGCTCAAACATATCGACTGTAATGATAATAATAGAATACCTCATGTAAACTACGTGTTCATTAATGTAAGACTGATAAAACATAGACTTGAAATATCAAATTGATATTTATCGTATATCCAATTGAAATACTCAAACCTAATTGAGGCAAAGTATCGAGAAAGTTTCAATTCGCAATTAAACAAAGATACAAGTTTTCTGTATTATATCTGCAATACGGAAAATATTGAAGAATGCAAAAATTTATTTTTACTTTTACAGTGTGATCTTTGAAACACGAAATATAAACACTCAAATTATTAATTTATAATTGTTTAGCATCTTGCGTACATAATAACATAATATATATTTCCATTTTTAAAACACACTAACTTTATATTAGTTTTGACATTTTTTAAATTTCGTGATTTAATTTATTTACTTTTATTTCAAAACATATATTTATATATGGAATAGAAGATGGCTAAACAAATTACGTTTAATTAAAAACGCATTGTAAAATATACCGTTGCATTCAAATATGCTAAATGCGCATAAAGAATAGATTAGAAAGGTCAACGCTTAATAATTTTTCGTTGATATTTTGCCTCTCTATGTACACCAAAGTTACACCGAGCATTTCTACCTCAATATATAAGTCATTCCATATTTATCGCAATAAAATTTTTATAGAAAAGATATTTACAGAACGTATATGAAATAGTGCAAGATAATGCAGTACCTGCCCGCCATGTGATCAAATGCATCGTTTAGCAAATGCAAATAAATCCAAACAATGTAAAGATCTCTGAAGTTAAATTGTCACCGTTAATGTATTACGTAAGGCAACTTGAAGCCTATATAAATGTTTTATTTACGAGTGCGTATATTACTTTATTTTAGTCATTGTTATCGCTACGCATTATTATTTTTTATACCAATTACAGAGTGCACTGTAAGCATAATAGTACAAGTAGCAAGTAAACGTTATTGTTAGGCTTTAATAAATTTTACTTCAATCAAGAGTGTAACGTGCACTAATTAGATATTCGTCGAGCGATATAAGAAGTATACGCAAGATATCCTATTTTGATGATTTTTCACGTAAAAGAATTTTTATTAATCGCAAACCTTTCCTTTCCTTTCTCTTTTTATCCCGATAAGTTTGATTTCTTTCTTCGGCTTATTTAACATATGTTTGTATGTTGTACTCTCTTTTCCGAAATATCTACTTGCAAATCAAACTGGGATAGCTTGACGAGAAAGATGTAGGATAACTAATTAAGAAAATATACACGTATTCATTCGCATGTACGGATACGAGTACGTTGTTTTAAAAAGCCGATTAGTTTATCAGAGTATATCGTGCAGCGTTGATGCGAGAGCACATTTTATATAATCGGTATATCTATTTTAATAATCCACGTGTGTGTGTCTGCGGAGCGCATTTCGAAGCACTAACGCGCCTGTAAGCGCGTCTTTTAAATATGATACATACATCGTGAGGTTTTTCTCTCAGTACGTGCCTTCATTCGTTGATTAATCTTTACGATGTGAATGCGGTGCGTTAATTATTAGTGTTGATTTTATACCGTTTATTATCAGCCATCACCATGTTCCATAAAATAGATAGTCCATTAGTACGTGAAACTCCATTATCTCTCACTCGTGACATTTTGATCTTTCTCTTTGTTCGTTTATTCGTACAATTTGTAAATATTCATAAGCGGACAACGACACTTCTAACAATTAGCGGTGTAAGACTGATTGTAAGACTGATTTTTTTTACTACGTTGACCTACACGCACACGCACAATGCGCGCCCACGTATATATGTATATGACGCGCGTATAAATAAATAAATATATATATCTAAAAATGTACAAGTATATAGATTTATTTGTGCATATATTATAATATATATATATTATACGAAAAATCACAGCGAAATATATATATTATATATATTATATATTTACACACTTGGTCCCACGAAATATATGTTATCAATAATTGTACAAGTTTGTTACGAAATAAACCATATAATCTTATACACTCCGTTGTTGCTTATTAATCAATCCCGTTAATTGAGTTTACCTTGATTAGAGAATACATACGCGTGGTATGTCGAGTTCAGTGATCCGCACCGTACCTCGCAATTCCGATCGTTTTGTGCCAGTGCAGCGTACCACGTTCTTGTGCACTCACGTGTGTATGTGTGCGCGAGCAATGGCGGATTAAGGCTTTCGAAGCTCTGTAGTCACAGCGTAATGAGATAATTCTTCTACAGGGTGTCGCGCGAAATTTCTTTAGCTACATCCTACAGTCGACGATGGAGGAGTTAGAGGAATTTAAGTGATTTAATCATTACGACTGTCAGTGACACTTTTTCTCGTATAATAAGATATCCCCAGATAGCAACATCTATCTTGATGCTGGCATGTTGCTCGCAAATAAATAAGTGTACGTTTCTATCAGAATTGCAGCATTTGTGGGTAAATTGATGCCTTCACGATATGACAGCTTTAGGAAGCAACTTGTCCACAACTTTAAAATCTTCATCGTCAAAATTCATGCTGTTGCCGTCATGTTGTCTTAATAATCTATAGGGTTATACAATGCTATCATATTGCCGATAACGCAAGCTAAGTTTGATGCTGCTATCTTACCATTAAACTATTGTGCGATATACATATATGTACATCGTTGCTAATGTTGGTAGATTCATAATCGTTGAAGACGTATGGCAAGTTGCCAGCATCATAGACAACATTTATACGGCTTGATTTACGTCAAAGTTATAACATCGATGTTATGAAACTGGCCAATCACAGTCGTTCCATTCTCTTCAGAGGAATACCTATAATTGGCCAGTTTTATGACGTTAATATTATAACTTCGGCGTAAAAATGAACCGTGTAAACGTAATTATAAGCAATTACAGATTTACAATTACGATTTTGCTGAGACACACTCGGTCTCCGCAAATCGCGATTTAACAGCATACACACATGCACAAATATTATATTTATTTTTCAAACGTTTATACATTTTTCTTACGTATTATTTTTAAAAACCCTGGCGAGCGAGAGAGATAAAATTTTAATAATAGAATTATTTTCATTATAATAAAATTGTTGATCTGAATATCGAGGGAAATAAAATACGATATTCGCGATGATTGATCTAGAATTAAGTAAATAAGCAAATAAGAACGCACACAAACGATTGAAAACGATTTCGCGAAACTAGAAATGAGATGGTAACAGTGAGGAGAATGGGGGAAGAGGAGTGAGCTTTAATCGAATTCTTCGAATGCATCAGGTATGTACGTCGAGGAAGTCCTCTAAATGACGAAACGACTTGCGTGGCTCTCGCAGCGTAGTTTCGGGTTCTCGACAGGGATTGCGGAGGTAGCGCAAAGCAGAAATACAGGAAAGGGAAGAAAAACAGGGAAGGATGGGAAGGAAA